GATTTACATGACTTATTTTATGCAGTTTAATATAATACAAAAAAAATTAATTAAAAATCGATGCGAACCGTAGAAATACAATAAAATTGTTGTGATTTGAATTGTATCATAAAAAAAGCAGAAGAAGAATAATATAACCGGCAGGATTATTTATAAATGTCCTGTCACATTTGTTGAATATACAAAAAAAGAAAATTAAATGACTACTTCATGCTATATTTAAAGAAAAGAGAAAGAAGAAAAAGTGTAATGTGTTTTGGCGCCACAATAAATTGTCGTTGTTGGCAGAGAAAAAAAGAGAGGGGGGGGAGAGAGAGAGAGAGAAAGAGATATGCAAATAAAGTTTTCGATTTCGTTGGATACGAAAAGGACGATGACGAAAGCATTCGAAGAGTATAAAGTCGGTTACAGGAATTTAGTGGAAAGTATCCCCCTCCCCCTTTTTGCCCCAATCCCATGAAATAAGTTTGCCTCTTGTTTGTTGCTCGTTCAACCGGTCGTCGTCCACAGGTTATTATTTTTTTTTTGTCGAAGATCCACCTCCTTCGAAAAGCTTTATCTTTTCTCTCAATGTGCAACATCTTCTAATATAAATGATAAAAGAAAAATCAGAACTCGATCGGTTGTAACTTTTAAACAGCAGAAAGACATTCGACCTTTGTCATTTAGTTTGAATTCTCATCTCGTAAAGGACCTTTAACGTTCCCCTCTTTTTCTTTTTCTTCTTCTTCATCGTCGTTGTCGTTGTCGTTGTCGTCGTTGTTTTCCAAGAGAAAGGATTCTAACTGATTGTCAGTGAAAAATATTTAATCATAATACATCTCATTGAATGTCTCATAAAGTATTTTAATTGTTTAATATTGTTGCACGCTGTTTAAACTTTTAATATTAATCTCAAATAAAATAATATTTTTTAATAAATAGAATGATCGTAGTAGATTTTAGCAAAAAATTAATTCACCATAAATTTTATGGAAAATACATGAAATACAATGTAATTGTCTACACGTATGACAAAAAAGTAATCTTGCAAAGGTTAATATTATTTAATTACGATACACGTACGTCCAAAATGAAAAGATGAAAATGAGGGGAAGCCTGAAAACGCATTTTTGGCAGAATTCGAAGGATGAAACAAGTACGGTGGTTATTCCGGTTCTTATGGAAAACCGGATATCAACTTGACCTTCTTTGTAACTTCGACGTTACTGAAGTGATCTACTTTTTGTTACGGTCAATCGTACTGACCGTATGGAGAGTGACCTTAGCATTGACGAATGTCTCAGACACACCCCTTCTCTTTTACTTATACATATATGCACATATGTAAATAAGTATTACCTATCTGATTATCTACATATCTTTATCTTTTCTATCTGTCATCAAAATTGGATTTTATATTATTCACAGTCATTTATAATTTTCTAATTGTTTAGTAAGAGAGTGTGAGAAAGAGAGAGAGAGAGAGATACGTTTTTATTTTTTATGTATTTCAAAATAAACAAATTTATTCGTGTGATAAAAAAATTATAAAATAAAAATTATTTATATACGTAGATGAGTGGGTTGACAAATTTTGAGTCTAACGTATTATAGAAAGAATTTTCGTTGTTTCTGTCAAACTCACTTTTATTTTCAAACTTTTTAACCCATTCTAGTATTTATAAACATTATAGAAATTAAACCCCGTTGATTATATTATATTATAATTGAATATTAAGACAATTAAAAGAGAACATTTTCGAATAAGAGTTAGTTTAAGTTATTTGACTTATATGACTCTCTCATTACAAGCCATACTAATTTTCTTAAGTCTTACAACTGAATGTAACACACAATTGTCTACAAAAATACTCGGTAAGAGAAAGAGAGTAATTTCGCAAACGTAAAGCAGTTGCAAAAGTAGGAAGCGATTATGAAAATGTCGAGCGGGTGCAGAAATGATTTTGCTGGTTGTTATTACACGAACTGTAACAGGAATTATTTTTAACTCTTACAGGAGAGGACTTTTAACGTTGAGAGTAAGTTTAACATATATGTATGCGTGTATATATGAGTGCATCTTTTCTAATCCTAAGAAAGTTGCAATTTCTCTCTTGGTGTTTGCAATAGAGAAATATTTTGTATTTTGTATGTATTTCAAACTGAACAAACATATTCGTGTAATTAAATGAAATATTATAGAAAAATATTAATAAAAATGAAATGAATAAATAATAAATAAAGAAAAGAAAGGGAATCATGTGTGTGTGTATGAAAGGAAGATGAAGATGAAGATGAAGATGAAGAGGAAGAGGAAGAGGAAGAAGAAGAAGAGGAAGAAAAGGAAAGGACTTTCTCTTGAGCATTGGTCTTTATCCGCTTTCCCTGATATCGCATCCGTCCGCGTGCTGATTTCGCGTAGGTATAGGATCTCGTAAGGACGAACCCAACGATCGATTTTTCTTTAATAAGCAAGCTTTCTCGAGGAGAGATTTTTCTATATATGAATAATACCCTTTCTTTCATCGAATTACAAAACTCTATAGCAATTTCATTGAAATTGAACACTTCGTTGTATCTAATATTAATATTTTATTTGGCACATTATATAAGTAATTTATCAATAATAATTAAATATGAAATATTTTTCTAGATATTAATTATCAATTATTATTATTATATAACAAATAAATAATAATTAAATATTGAATAATCTAATTTACTATCGACATAATCAACGTACTATAGTCTCGTTATATAATTTAATAATGAAGTTACTATATATATGATGCAATATTAACAAATTATAGTGTAATTGTAAATCAAATTCTTATTGGTTGTTGTGAGGCTAAATAGACATTATTATTAATATTATTATAATTATAAAAAATATTAATTATATGAAAAGTATAGATTATAGCGGAAATAAGAAAAGAAATATATAATAAAATAATAAAATTGAAAAAAAAAAAAAAAACAGGTTGCGTTATTATCGATGTGTTATTTTCAGGTGATCGTCGATACAGAGAAGGAAATTGTAGAAATCTTGAAGATTCCATTGCCACGTAGTCCCAACGACATTAACGAAAGGTCAGTGAGCAGCTTTTCTTAACGTTTACTCGAGAGAGAATCATGCTTGGTTACGTAAGTTCATCGTGCAAATTACCTTTCTCATCATCTCTCTCTCTTTCTCTTTCTCTTTCACTTTGTCTTACTCTTTCGGTTCGTCTTTCTTTTTTTGTTGATCCAATCATCAAATTCTCGGTCGAGTTATATATGTGTGATAATCTTGACGATTAGTATTATTTCTATGCTTTCCGCGTTGCTTTCTTTGTCGTTTCTAACGGACCTTGTTTTCAAATGGAAAATATTTCTCTTTGGAATGTTGACCGGATCAAGGATGACCGGTGAATAGGTTAACAGGATTCGTTTGTTATTTCTTATTAGAATTTTAACATAGGTAATATGCGTTTCTATATATATTAATGTTAATTTCAAACATTCAAATATTCACAATTTTTCTCTATTCAATTAATATTTAATTATATTAATTATTATCAAATAACAATATTAAAACTTTGCCAAAATAATTTCACACTTACTATTAATCTTTTCATTATTATTCAATCATAATTAAAAAGAAATTATATAATCTTGAATAGAAATAAATCCTCCTTTCTTATTTTCTATATATTTTTAATCGGAAACATTTAATAGATGAAATTCTGAGAATCATCGAATTTAAAAAAACACATAATCGTACATATGATATGTCGTAGAATTGGTAAACGTGTGTTATTTCTTTCATTCGCTTTCGTTAGTTCGCGAAATATTCTTCGCGAAGACACCTCAAGGACGTCGAGATGCGACCTCCTCTCACTTTCGAGTAACATTCCCCTTTCCTCTCGTTATTTCCCTTACTCCTCTCAACCCCGTTCCATCAGGTTCTCTCTTCTTTCGGTATTTTGGGCAAAGCATTCCCTAAACGAACGAACTCTCGTTGAATTCTTAGCTCGTTCATCCTTCTCTATCGTAATGATTTTACAGCCGTATATGCAATCAAGGCCATATTGTTTCACTTTTACAAATTTCGTGATACCAGAAAGAGGAGGAGGAGGAGGAGGAAAATTTAATTGAACAAAAATACAAATCAAAATGAGCTTTCTAAGTCTGACGAAAATCCGAAGTTATGTTTTTCATTTCATTCATTTATTAGCATTATCGGATTGAAAATTTTCTCCGAGTATTTTATAATTTATGAGACGTTATTTATTAACAATATATATGTATGCGTGCGTTGATTATTTTGAAATCATTTTATTTCACGTGTCTTCATATTTAATTTACATTTATACAGCAACCATTAGACGTCATCGTTAAAAACCAATGGTTGCTCTTAACTATTAATTATTTATTTATTTATTTATTTATTTATTTATTTATTTATACATATATGTATATTTATTTATATGCCTATAAAGATCGTCGTATGATCGAATACGTGGGATCTATTTAAAAAAAAAAATAAAAAACATACGAGTTTTTTATATGACTTTAAAATTACCTAATAGGAGTGATCAAAGAAATAGTGAAACCTCGTCGACGATTTCAGGAATAAAATAATATCAACGAGCTTTCCTTTTTTGCATTATATAAAAGAAATATGAAATTAAAAGCTCGATAAGTGTGTATCGACGTTCAAAATGAAATCTAAAAAAGAGGTCGTTTACAAAAATAATACTTGTCTTTCGTTTGAGTCAATTATTTTTTCGTCGGAAAGAAAAGAACCACCATATTTGGATTTTTATTTAAAATACTTTTCTATTGTAGGCAAAAGCAAAAGGCATGGTCAAGGATAAAGATGGACAAGGACAAATCGTGTTTCTTGTAAGAGAAGTTTTTCTTCCTTTTTCTTTTTTTTTATAAATTCGGAACTTTTTGCTTTTGCTTAAAAAATATTGGTCAGAGAAAGATGACCATTTCTCTATTTCTTTCTCTCTCTTTCTCTTTTCCTTTTTTTTATTTTAATCTTAAAAAAACCTTTAGATATCTATCCCCTGCGATAAGGTTTAGGTTTCACTTGGACTTCTTCTTGCTGCGTTTCCTCGACTTCTTCTTGCACGGGTTTACCTCTCGATGAACCGAATCTACCACGGCTAGTCGCAGTTGTCCTTGATTCTCCTCCTGAATTTCCATTAGCTTTGTTACGATTGCTCGATGACGTTCTTTAAGAAAAAATACAGAAAATAATAATGTAACTTAGTTTATAGAATTATTCAAATATTTGATTTCAATTGAAAGTACCTCGATTTGGGAGTCGTTGATTCCGTTTGAGCCGCCTGTGTCCCTGAGGATTCTTTAGAATGACTAATTGGACCAGTCTGAGCACGTCTTCTCTTTAACGCTGCTATTAATTCCTCGTTTGATCTTAACAAAAACAAATTTGTACAAAAATTTTTCTTTACTGAAAGATATTTTGAAGATAATATCATTTTTAGTGAATAGGAAAATATGAAATGGAAAAATTATGATAAAAAAATAAAAAATGTAAAACAAATACCTGAAAGGTCTGACACCGCCCCGAACCTTTTTTAAAGATTCAGTAGTGGTCGTGAGGACTTCTTCTTGTTCTTGAATATCTTCGAGTGGTTCCTCAGCTTCTTCTTCTTCTTCTAATGGTTGTTGTTCGACTGGTTTAGCGGTCGTAGATTGAGTCTATGGAATTTTTACATCTTTCTACGTTAAATACGGCTAGGAAAGTTAAGATAGTAATAAAAGGGAAAACATCGAAAATAAACATACCGGTGTTGCTTTTCTTCCTCCAACATTGACTCGGCCTCTCGACGATAACAGTCCTCCCAATCTAGCAGCTGGTGCTGCTGCTTTAGTTGGAGCTGGGGTTACAACAGCTGCTGGAGCTTCTTCTTCGTAATCGTATTCCTCTTCAGTCGATCTACAGGTAGCTATTAGGCACAAAGCTAATAATCTGAAATTTAAATAAACAAACTTTATTGATTTTTAATCATATTGTTAGAAGAGATAATTTTCTATCCTATAGGATAGGATGCACAATTAATATTCAATTCTAAAATAATCAATAGATAAAATAATAACACGTTAAGACTATTAATTTTATTTAAAACGATATTATATAGGTAAATGGGTTAAAGCATTATCTTTTATACGTTTAATAATTATTAAATATTATTGTAAGGAATAATTTGAAATCGTAATAGAGAGAATATTAATTATTTACAAATTTTAAATAACAATTAAACATCAAATAGATTCTTTTATAACAGAAATCATAATTTTGAACAATAGTGAATTTGACTTAAATGTTTCACTCAACAATTAAAATAATGCATACTCTCTCTCTCCATAAAATAGACACTTAAAGAGGTATCAATGGAACTTAACACAATCCAAGTAATAATATTTCCCTATGATTAAAAATAACTTCAAGTTGAAGTATTAATATAATCAGAAAGAGAGAAATAGAAAAAATCTTATAAAGATCATGGAACTTAAACCGAATAAAATATTCTCCCGTCAAGGTTACGATGTTCTTACGTTACCGTAGGCATTCTTACGTTCCTTAGATTCTACTTTCACTCCTTACGTTCCTGCACACTATTCGATTCCTTACCAAAGTTCCTTCTCGAGATACGCTTTTACCACTGTCGAGAATAAACCGTCTAGATGCTAAGAAAAGATTATAGATTACATTTCTTTTCTTTCTCTGTCTTTCGAACACGAAGATAATGATTTATCTTCGTAGTACTAGGATAGAGCTGCAACAGACCGGATCCAAAAGAAACTTGGTGATAATCGGTTGGCTCTGTTGCGAGAAGGGTGAATGGCTGCCGTTGCTGTTATTCCTACTGTTGCTGCTGTTGATTTAAACGTGCTGCACGATTTGTGCCACGATAATCGAGATACGACAACAGACTATGTTTTTTTCATTTTGTCTTGAAATTCTCATGGAATTTTCTTGGACTGCTTGAATTTGATGAAAATTTCATTGAATTTCTGATTAAGATATATAATGCAGCACATTCGATATGCTTAATTTGGGGGGGGGGGTATATACTATATGTAGAAACTTATTACGTATATATGTAGAACTTTCGCGAAAACATTTGTCGAAAGCATATACGTATACATACACCATAGTAGACTTTGACCTGTGACATTAACGTTCGAAACTCACTTTCTCTGACTCTCTGGGTCCCTGTACAACTGCGGTCCCTGTTTCACCAAGGGGATTGGCTCTGTCTTTCTGTCGTTACGAAGTCAAACGTTTGTGCGTGAAACAACTCACAAATGTCAAGAAAACCCGCCAACAGCAACAGCAGCAATAACAGAAACAACATTACAGTAATAGTTAAAATAGCATCTCAAATGTCCTTTTAATTGTCTACCGTAAATCTTGTACTCTCTCAAAAGAAGACAGAATATTTTTTCATAATTTCATTCGATCGCGTCAGAGTTTCGAATTTTTTGTTCAAATTCATTTGAAAAAGAGAAAATCTTGCGTAAATTATAATAACTTTCTTTTATTTCTCTAGACTTGGATCATCGGTAATTAATAAATTGAAAGAATTTACGTAATCATTTGACAAGGACGATCATAAATCTTCATGATTTGTTTTATAAATAAAGATATTGTATGGATGTATGCATATGGAGAAGTGAAAGAAAAGAAAATGAGTAATAAGCGAGGCCATCTTTACAACGATAGCTAGTTAACGATCAGTAGTTGCTAAGAGCATAAGACAAGCATCTTCTTTTTTCTCTTCTTGGAAGAAGAATTCGAAGAAGAATTCGAAGAAGAATTCGAAGAAGAATTCGAAGAAGAAAAAAGAAATGGAGAAAAAATGGACACCTCCGCGAATAACACACAACGACAATTCCCGATTCGTTTTTTATTCACGTTTGCCCTTTAGCGATTTATTGACGCAACACTTTTGGTTCGTCTTTTGCTGTAGATGTAATTGCAATTATGTCACCCTATCGAGAAAACAATTAATAAGAAGTAGATAGAAATTAAATAGAGAAAAAAAGAGACGATTTCATTTCATTAGAAATTAATTTCAAATTGATAGAATAGATGGATTAAAACATTGTTTCTTTGCCCTTTATATTTTAATTGGTAAGAAAATAATTAAAAATTAATATATATATATAAATAGCACTTGTTTTTAAAAACATTTCTTTTTCTTTCTCTCCTAACTTGCTTGATTAAAAAATTATTTTTAAATCGATACAAACATTTCATTTGTTTTTTTTTTTTTAATATTTTTTGTCTTTCTTTTTCTTTAATAATTTAATTGAATTAAATATTAATTGAACAATTTATATAAAAAGTGAACGAGTAGACGTTCAATGTTATGTTTTTTCTCTTTCCTTTTATTTTTCTGACATCAATTGAAGCATACCTAAAAGAATCTTTTCTCGTAGGAATGATCGTAGGAGGAAGTCAATAGAGATGAATGGAAAAAAAAAATCTTTCGCACATATATTGTTACAATATCCTCCTCCCTTTCTCCCTATTGAACTATAGTATAGCCAATGGTATGCATGACATGTAGTTGGAATAATGTCAAGGAGAAACAACGGTAAACGAGGTGACATTTCCATAAACTTTTCTTTGATATAAATCTTTCTCTTTCTCTCTCTCTCTCTCTCTGTCGAGAAATCGAAAGTTTTTTTCTTTTTTCTTTAAAAAAAAAAAAAAAAAGAAATTATTTATAGTATTTTCGAAGGGTAGCGTGCCACGCGGATTCTAACATCAAATTCATTTTCTAATTGAATACGTCGTATGTTTTATGGTGTTTTTTTAATTTATTTGTTTTTTTTTCTTTTTTTTCTTACTACAATCCTGATTGAAAGTGATAGAAAGAGAAAGAGCATGTATATAAATACGTTATATGTACATATAACGCATTTACGCAAGCAAGGATAGAGTGCACGCGCGCATGTATGCGTTTAATTCCGCGGGCCTTTTACCTTAGACATACGATTTTCTCGCATAACAGCTAGTCGAATCTAGTAATTACCATAACCATGGAAAGTATAAGGAAACCGAGCATTCTAATATGTGAATGTTATGAGTATTACATGCGCAGTAACACTAACACACAGACTAGCACACATCATGACTAGACGTATTTAAATGGCCTTGATTGACAAAAAAATAAAGTGAACCAATCCCAATGTAAATTTTAAATCGATCAACAGGTTAGATAACATAACTTTGATCTATTTTAATAAAGTATTAGTTGATTAAACAAATCGTTATGGGAAATTAGAAAAATATAAATAAAGGATAGTAGGTAAATATGATAAGTAAACAGATTAGAAGGAGGGATGGTGGAAGGGGAAGGAAGATGACAAACAGGAAGGGGTAAATATCGTACTCACGTGAACAGCGTAAGTTTCATGGTGGCGGAAGATTCTTTCGTTCCTGGTTTGTGGTAAGCCGATCGGACTTCTTTAAAAAATATATTTAACAAAAAAATATAGTAATCTAAAAACAAAAAAGACGTCGTGTTTCTATCGACGTGTAATAGATTTTTGTTTCTGTTTTCTTTTTTTCTTTTTTTTTAACAACGTCGATAGTCCCCAACGTAAAAGGGGAAAAACTTAGAAAACCTTTTTGCACTATAAACGCGATATCGGTAACAGCAGCAGCAACAACAACAACAGCCAACGATAACAGGAACAACAACGAAACTAAATAACAATAGCAATGAAAATATATTTATATATAATATCCGTCTATATAAATATTGATATTATATATATATACATATATATATATATATATATATATGTTTGTTTATATATATATATGTTTATATATGGGTGTAGATTTATATATACATACAGATATATGTATTGAAACGAGGTATAAGAGAAAACGAAAGCAAGCACACCACTGCAATCGCGGAGGCTGTGTGCTTTGGAGTGCCGAGTCGAGTTTCCCCTTCTCTCTATATATATGGCACTCTCACTCTGGCAAAGAGAACCACTCGTGCCGAATCCCATCCACGTATCTCGTACGTGTGACTTGCTCGTATCCTTCCCACGCAAGAGGCAAGCAAGTTTGTTGCTTGCTGCTAACTTTGTTACATCCTTCTGGCAAAAGCCCCCTTTCAATTCCCCTCCGCAATCCCCCTCTCCACTCCTTTCTGTCCACCTTAAAATCCTTATGTCCATTACTATAAACCACACACTTTGGAAATCCAACGTCATCAAATGTCTCTGTTTATACCATCCATGGAAAATCCTGAATATATTATCTCCGATATTTCCTTTTAATCTTTTCTTTTTGCATACTTTCTTGTCGAGTCTATTTCTGCGTTATTTTTTTCTTTCGAATATTTCCATAATATATCTTATAGCGTGGGTAGTTTTCATTGATAGAATGTATTTGTAATACGATAGAAGATTAATAATTACATTTGATTTAACAATAAATTGATTGAAGTGAAAGAGAAGATTATAGAAGATAAATCAAATTTATAATTTTTATTTCATTTTATTTTATTTTTAGTTTTATTTAATTCCCCAATTTTGCATATCACACATACGTGTATCCGGAAACAATATTATTATTACAAGATTTCTTTTTAACTTTCTCTTTCGCTTTTCAATTCAAGTAGACGATACTCTAACTTTTATTTATCTTATTTCTTTTTTTTATTTCCTAATTTGTTAAATTTTGACTTGGATTACGTATTCGATCGTTGCATAAAATCGAACGGTTACATTCTAAGGATTAAAATCCAATATATTATCATCAAATATATATTTGATTTAGTTGATGTGTCTAAATCATGTGTCTAGCATCACATACATGAAATTCATCGATTTGATTCGTTGTCTCGAAGAAACGAGTATAAACAGTGAAAGTAAAGTTGCGAATCAGTGTCTCGACGTAGTAAACCCGTAGACGAGAATGTCGGTTCTGAACCTTCACCCCACTCCACTTCACCCCCTCACCATAATAACCCCCACCCCTTGTTTCTTCTCTTCTCCATGAACAGACATATTTACGCTCGATCTTCTTCCTTTTTCTTTTTTGTCTGGTTGAAAAAAATATTTGCTGTTTGATTCGCGTCTTCATGTTTTTTGTATGCGTAAAAGAAAGGTAACGTTTTTATTAGTATGAGTAGTCATGGTCGATGAATTGTCAGCACGTGAATGAAGTCAATGAAGATGTATGTGAGGAACGTGTACGCATAATTGATTTCTATTTCGATTCTAACATTTAAATTTATGTGGGAGTTTTTGTCAGATTCATGGGCTTGTTCTTGAACTGATGGATATATTTAATTCGTTGATCGTTTTGTTTTTCATTTTTCTGCGGTAAGATATTTTTTCTTTTTTATTAAATATTATAGAAGTTTTTGTAGAATAAGTTTATTGTAAAATTTACAAAGAGAAATTTCAGTAACTGGTTCTATGTGATGGTTTATTTATTAAATTATATAAGTTATTATATATCATTCACACACTTTACTATATATCCGCAAATATATATAAATAGGTATGAATCTTATTTGTTTACGTATAAAGACGAAAGAAAATTGAAAAAGAAAAAAAAAGAAAAAATAAATGTAGAAAATGGCGGGAATTATTATTTAAAAATAAAAGTTCGATATATAGATCGAATGATATATCGAAAATATGACTGGTGGCGACATCGCGCGTACAAATTTGTTATCGACAAGCTTCCTTACCAACAAAATCAAAACGTTTTTAATGAAACCAACCGCCAGAGATCGTCAATGATACTTCCGGTTAGTAATTTCCGTTAGTTTCAAAGGTATATAACGATTTGTTTGACTTTCTCTGAAAAAGAAAAATAAAGCAAATAATAAAATTATTATTACATAAAGCTGATCGATAATAAGAAACATTGGATCTATATGCAAACCGGATATATTTCAACCGAAAGAACGTAAAAAGAAAGGAGGAACGAGGAGGTAAGAATATTCGATGATAAAATAAAGTAAGAAATGTGAGTAAAAAAGAAGAAAAATCGGAATAAACAAGAAAAAAAGTCAGTTGTAGGAGAATTGAAAATGAATGAGTTGAAAGGAACGCCGGTAGAGGCGCGTTAGTGGCGCGGTAATGGCGTTTCGAACGGCGGAGCTGTCACTTGTTGCGTCGTCCTCGCGCCGCGACCCTAGTCCCTCCCTTTCAATAGTTCAAATTAAAATCCTCCCTCTCTTTCTCTCTTGTTCGCGCGTGCGTTAGAAACGGGAAGAGTGAGAGAGAGAAAGAGAGTGTGAGAGATAAATAGTGCGAGTCAGAAAACAAGAGGAAGGTGTTTCAATCAAATCATTTAAGTGTCGCTAAATTTGGATCATTCCATTCCACTTTTCTTTCCAATAAACTTCCTTCCAATTTTTTTTTTCTATATTTTGTCTCTGGAAATGCAAACAATGGTGAGTTCTTACTTATTCATTTTTATTACGTTTCATTATTATTATTATTATTATTAATGTTCGTGTTAAAAAAAAAAAACAATATTACAAATAGTTTTATGGTAAGAACAATCGAGTGGAATCCATTTTGTTTGTTGTTGCTTTTTTATTTATACAATCGTAACAATTCGCGCGTAATTCGAATCGAATTTTGATGATCGATAGGAATAGAAAATATAAAAATTGTAGAGTTCGTTTAAATGTATATTTTTTTTTATTTTTCTCTCTCTCTCTCTCAAAATACTGGGTGAAGAATAAAGGGACAGAAATAGAAGTGGACTTTCTTCAATACCCTTTGTCATTTTCACATTTACTGTTACATCTCATTGTACTTTATTGAATACGAATCGAGGTTCAAACACGGAACAGATAAGGAAAGTATTTTCAAAAGTTACAATTTCGCTCGAAATTGTTGGAATTTGCAGAAAATGATAGGTACAGTTTGATACAGGTATATATTGAACATTGATGGGTTTTTTTTCTCGAAAGAAATGATTATGATGAGAGGGCAGGATTCTCTTTCTCTTTTTCTCTCTTTCTCTCAGGTCGCTTTGTTCTATTTCTCTTTTTCTCTCGAACCGTCTACTTCTCTTCTACTGTTGTGTAGCACAGTTCTCTCGAAACCAGTTTACAGCTGTCAGCATCCAGTTTCTCCGTACAATCTATACTTATACCATATATACATTTATGGTTTATATTTATTATATAATATAATATATATATTTAATGTTATATTATGGTGTATATAATAATGATATGCGTATACGTGGATTAAAATGTCTTGTGAGTTGAACATAGAAATCATTTTTTTCTTCGGTCAAACTAATTTTTATTTTTTAATTAAAAGTTTTCGTGTTTGTAGAGGGTTAAAAGTTTTAATTAATATAATAGAATATAAAGGGGTATGTACATAGTATCCAGAATATTTATTAGGATATTGATTGCTTTTCAATAATTTATTATAAATTGTGCTATAAGTAGTTTTTGGCATATACTATGATTAATAGTAGTAAAACTATACTAATAAATAAATATACTATAAAGTAATATCTACAAATAATCACTTGAAATGATTAAGGGTTATAAAGAACAAATATATTTTTTGTACTTACAGTTAGTATAGTATAATTAACAGTAATAGAACTATACCAATTGTAATTTATATTTAAAAAGATGATATATATGGGTGGTATGATGTAGGATTAAAATAAATGAGTACAGGAAAAAAATTGGATGTTAGGGTTTACATAGGATTAATGTTTTAAGTTAGTGTTTTGATTCAGAAAGTTTACTTCCAAATGGAACGATCCAGAGTTTACTTCTGAAGATAGGGAAGAGAGGAGATCTCTTTCTTTCTCTCTCTTTCTTTCTTTCTTCTGCTAGGCCAGAAATAATTTTCTTTCTCTTTCAAAAGAGAAATGAAGGGAAGGAGTTCTACCTAAGTCTGGACCAAAATAAGCAAAGCTGATATTTCCTCGGGCGGAAATGCACACGAGCATAAATCGAAGTAAAAGAAGAAATATAAAAATTCAATAATCATTTTTCTTTCCTTGTCTTTTATTTTGTATTAATCTTTAAATATATTATTAAACGGTTGTTAATAATATTTTATTTCTACAATTTCGTGTATTTTAATATTTTTATAATGTATTTTAAAACATTTAAATATTTATATTTCTATAAATTATATTATACTAATTGCGAGTAAAAACAAATTATAATAATCATTTATAGTGTCATATACATATATATATATTATATTTTATTATAGTAAAACTAATGGTAAGCATTTATAAATAATACAAATAATAAGATTAATAAACACGGTATAATTCTGTTAGGTATAAGTAAAACAATAATTTTTTGTATAAAATAAAATATAAAGAAAAAATATAATATATATTTTATATCTTTAATATAAGGTGTTGAATTTACAAAGTTAACCATACAGATATTTCAATGGCATGTTATTTAAACGTAGCGAAGCTTTCGAAGCCGGAAATTCCTCGTTATAAACTGTTCATTGCTTTGAATCTACCATCCTCTCTTCCTTCTGATTATTATACTCGATTATTCTTTATTTCATCTTCACCGTAACATTCTAAGATATGTAGGAAGAAATATTATTTGTTTATTTTTTGTTAACTCTAAATAAATATTATATTTATATATATACATTTATGTATCATGTGAAAAGTAGGTGAATTCTTTGGCTTGGAATTTTCGAAACAATTCGAAAATCTTGAAAGGAAGATAAGTGATGGGGAAAGAGCAGATGGCAACTGGCAACCCTCCTAGGGCCCAAAATATGCTCAGAATGGACCCAAAAGAAACCGTAAACCTTGAACCTCTCCTCTTCCTTTTTCTTCACCTTCTTCTCCGAGTAGAAGGAGGATCTTCTTCCACAGAAATGTTCGATAACCTTTACCTTTTCTTATTTTTCTTTTTGTTAAGACCAAACACAAAGCTTTCCTGGCTTCTCACCGATCATGCTATTCTTTTCTTACTTTTTTTTCTCCTCCCCCCGCATTTTTCTTCTACCACCTGCGTCTGATTTAGTAGAGCTTTGAACTATCACTAGATTTGTCCATACGATATCTACAAGTTAGCAAGTTCTTTTTCATAGTTCCTTTGCTAATTTGATTAGCATATAATAAAACTATAATTATTGAGATCTAAATAAAATTAGAACAAAAATAAACCGAATGAAATAAAAATATGTTCACATATTTGCTAATGATTCCGAAATAGGTTTGACCATTTCGCAAAGAACATATAAAAACTAATAAAAAATAAAATGCAGAAAAATACAAATTGAGAATCACTGAGTCATATTAGTCGAATCGTACGATGTGTCATGAGTAAATAACGCGTTACCTGTAACTTCTCGTGTGTTATCGGACTAACACTCTAACACGACGAGCCTTCCTCATCGAGACTTTGCTCGGACTAAACAGAAAAAAAAAACAGAAAGAGAAAGAGAAAGAGATAAAAAGAAAGAAAGAGATAACTGAACTCTGTCAGTCCTTCTTCGTGATCGCAACTTCTCGTGCGTGTATATATGTTACTTGCCCCACCTTCTCTATCTCTAACTCTTTTTCTCTTATTCTATCTATCCATCTATCTATCTATCTGTTTCTCACTCTTTCACACTATCCTATATCCACATTGTAGCGATCATGCTACTCACAGCAGTCAGTCGGTTTAGAGACATCGTCGTTGCCGTCACGTTTCTTCTCCTTTTTATCTTTTTAATTTCATTATTATTATTGTCATTACTCATACACAGACACATACACACACGTACATACTTCTCTGTCTCTTTATGTTAATTAAATCATTCATTTTTGATGAATTCATTTGTCGTTAATTTTTCTTTTCTTTTTCTGTCTTTTCTTTTAAACGAGAGGACAAGTAATTGTGATATAAATAAAAACATTATATTTTAAGTGAGATATTGGTTTTATAGTGATTTATACAAAATGATTATGCTCAATGAGGATTGCTTTTGATTCGTGTATTATGTGATATAGTCGCACATGAAACAGGAATTATATAAAAGAGTATTATTTGAGTGAAACGTAACGTGATTTACGTCATTTATTCTCAACAACGATATTTCAACAGCTATACATGCATGCATGTATGTATGTATGAATGCAGTATAGGTACGAGTAGTAAGTCGATATCCTTGGATAGATTTCGACGAAGAATATTGCGTTTCGTGGCGAGTAATCATGTTCAGTACTCTCGTTTTCTTCAGCACGATAACGGAGATACGTGGAAAGTGAAAGAACGTTTTATCTTTTCTTAGTTTGTCTTTTTTTCTTCATTATTATTATCAATTGGTCTAATTTTCTATATATGAATAATTGAAATATTCGACTTTATTGTATGAAAAATGATGAAATTGAATTAATTACTAATTTACGAATTATAAAGTGAACAATAGATTATTAATTGTAGTCTCGAATATAAATTTATTTTCAAATTTAAACTTGATCTATATTTTATGTTCACAATCTAACGAAAAACGTAACACAAATGATTATCTTTTGATACTATGTCGAGATATCAAAGCATTTTTCTGTGTGGTTTGTGTGTTCACTGTAGTGTGTAAATATTCCGATAGATAAACTTGAAATTTATTGATGAAAAATATGAAGTCGCTTTTAATTCGAATTCGAAAATCATTTATATATTCAATTATTTTTGTGATGTCTTTTCAATTTTCAATATTGTGTTTTTAATAAAAATTTGTTTATAAACCAAACTACTCTTTTTTAAAATTAAAAATTATTAAAATTTTCTATAATTTAAAAAGTGATCGATATATATATATAAAATAAATGTTGTCTGTATTAAATTCAAAACTTGACAATTAACGCGTAAATATTAAAAAAAATGTATCAATATTTGTACCAAATTGATTATTAATTTATATTTCATATCTCTTTCTAAATATATTAGAAAGGTTGGAATGCAAAAAAGACAGTAAGAGTGTCGAATTACTTAATACCTTTTACTTTCGCAGGCGTATCTAAACGATAACAAGTATATGATCGAGAATGGAGCCAGGAAACAAGCGGACCGATGAGAAGAATTTAGAGGAAGACAGGTACAAAAATAGAAATTTAGTATTGACCGAAGAAAAAGAAGAAATATCTACGAAATTACGCGTTCATAAGGTGGACAAATTAACGACCATTGAACAAATCCTTCTAACCTCTTCGAGTAGTAATAAAAAGAAGGACAATATAGTCGCGAAACATTTTGTAGAAGAAAAAGAAGGAGGAAATAACAAAAATAATAATATTAAAAAAAAGAAAGAAAATTTGATCGTTAGAGGTAGAACTTCGTTTCCATCATTGAATGAAAAAATCAAGCCAATTAAATTGATCAAACGTCCAACGATCGGTACTTTGGTAGTCAAAGGTTTGGATCCGAAAAACTTGGTAATAAAAGAAGACAAAGAAGATAGACAAGTTTCCGATGAGAATGATCAAGATATTTTGATAAAAAAGGAACAATTTAATAAGAACAGAAGATCGGTTGACAACGAGGACGATGAAGATGAGGAAAAAAAGTGTAAGCAGAGTCCGTTAGATCGTTTGGAGGAAAGTAGATCGAAGATTAAAGTATTACAAGATAATCTTGGTACGCAGATACAAGCTATCACTGCGTTAAGTTACAACGAAGAATTATCTAATCGTCCTTTAAGATCATCGGTAGAAATCGATACGAATTCTTTGAGCGAGATATCATTCGATCCGGAATTTTTACAACGTCAAAGATTAGACGAGAGATTAGAGATCGAAGAAAGTCATAGAAAACCGCGTTACAGTAAAAAAGTATTGGAAATAGAAAGAAGATGGTCCGGTGAATTTCTTCGTTGCAAATCAGGAAAGAATCATGACCGATCTAATTCGTCGTCGTCGTCTAAATCATCCTACGTCGAAGAATTTGGTAGCGTGTCCTCGGGCGAAAGTATAATCGAAGAAGGACAGATAAGTTTTTCGAACGTGCAATTAAATGATCAAGAAGGATCGAGTATAAGACATTCGGAAGAATTTTTAGAAGGTAGCACTGTGAGTACTCTTGGTTCGGATTCTGGTTTAGACGGTGAGGATAAAAAACTTGTAAACGAGGATATCGATCATCGATCATCGGATAGATCATTCGAGGAAGATTTATCTAGGATTAACGAGCGGTTGATGATACCTTGCGAACACGGTAATCAAGAAATTAATTATAAGGAATCGTCATCATCGATAGCAACTGCAAATACTAAGACAAATACGAAAGACGGTTACGCCAAATTGATAAGAGAATTTACGATGGAGCCAGGAGTATCCAGAGTAAAGAAAGAAGAGAAGCAAAAAAAGAAATCCGGTCTGAGAAGATTATTGCCAGGATTTTTTTCCCCGAAAGATTCCCGCAAGGATTACAATAAAAAGAAGGAACGGAAGGAGAGAAGGAAACAGGACGAGAGACATTTTACTCGTTATCAACAAAATGGCAATTACACTAGATCCCCGGACACTATGAATTTGAACGAGGATATCAAAAGAAACGTCAAATTAGATAACAGTTTGAACGGGTCGATAATCGAGGAAAGATTAGACGAGATCAAACGTGAATTGTTTCCTGATCAAGGATTGATCACCAGTACTCCTGATCATTTTTCATTAAATGACGAAGGAAGAACGAAGATGATACAGCAAACTAAATATCGTGCAAATGATTCCAGTCCAAGGTCCATTGGTCCGGATGACAGATGGTACGATAGAAAAATCTTATCGCCTGATAATAACAAATACGAAGAGAGAAGCATAGCCGAGGATGGGGAAATTAAAACAGGATTGGAGTTAGACAACCGAAGAATAGGGCCTGGTGGACAATTGGAACGTAAACATAGTCTGCAAGAAGCGAATCGTGGTCGTATGTTCTTTCAAAGAAATCACGGTCCATCCGGAAGGATTTCGGCACCACCTACTGAAAGATTTTTCCATAAATCGAGAATAGTTCGACCAATGGACAGACCACTTCCAGCTATACCACGTTCGAGAATCGAATTATGCAATTATGAAAATGATGAAAGAGAAGAGTCACAGGAATTAGAATCACGTGGAGAAAATGATGATAATGAAGTTAGCAGGCAAGCTGTTTCGATTGTCATCGATTCGCCGAACGATAGAACGCTGAAATATTCCTCTCCAGTATCTAGCCAGAAGTCGGGAGATTATGCTGATTCTTGTTGTACTCCTAATTCCAGTCAGAAGAGTGAATTTTCACCGTCCAGTTCGAAAAGTGGTGAATATTATCTGAACTCGCCGAGAACTAGCGCGAGGACATCGCCAACAACCAGCAGCATACAGACTGAAGGGATTTATGCTAATGATACTACTCGACCATCGAAGAATCCTGATTTCGAAGAAGAAATCGAAGAACGTGTCTACGACGAGACCCCACCCTCTCCGTTCAGGGAAGATGATTCTGTTAATAGAAAAGAGGGTGACGTTGGTGTAACGAATAAAACTTTGCTAAACAGTAAGAAAAGCTTGTCGTCACCACGAGGAATGCAAAGAAAGGCACAACCCGGTGATCAAATTTTGATAGCTTCACCGAAACGAGAAGTCATTTATGATAGAAAAACGTTTGCTAATCTCGAACGTATACGTCCAGAATCACCAATAACGGTATCCAATTCGCCCAAGGAACGTATCGAGAGCAATTTCTCTAAAGGTAAGGAATATCAAGAAGGCCAACGTAATCGTGACAAAATACAGGGTCATAGGTCAGCAAGTTTGCCACCGTTTTCGATGATTCCAACGGCTTCAGGTAATACACCTTGTACGATGAAGAATCTTCAAAGGCCCGAACCCGTTTACGCCACTTCTCGTTTACGAACGGGATCAAGTCCACGTAGGAGAAACGTCAATGATGTTTCTGGGCCAGCAACATCTGTCTCGAGCCAAGAAAAGATTTATACCAGCAAAGGTTCTCTCCAACGTGAACCGATATCAGAAAGGCAAAGACCTATCGAAGGTAACGTGTATCATGGACAAGTTAATTGTCCAATCAATTGTAATCCAACATCACCTACGAAAAGACGAACTATGCAACATCTCGAAGCTTTTTATTGGCAACAGAAAGCTTTGGAAGCTAATCGAAAGACTGGGTTGCCAGCAGCTAACAACAATGATTCACCAATTCGTGAAACAACCAATCGTGAAAAACAAACTTCTCTGAAGATCAATTTACCGGAAATTCGAGAAGCTGTTTATTGGCAACAGTTGAAGAAACTTGACGAGGAACAACAAAGGCGAATTTATGAAAGAAATTTAATGGAAGATAGAAGACTCGATAACAGATCAGTTTCGAATCGTCAGAGTGGTCGATCAAGCATCCGTCAACCTGTCCCTATTACTAATACTAATATTCCTGTTACTGCATCAACCGATTCTAACATAGATCGATCTTATTGGGCTAATGAAAAATCTCGTGCTACGAAAAGCAATAATCCATTGAGACCTAATTTGATTAAAGGTTCGGCGCAACCAATTTTAATAGTCAGACCTCAACAGGCAATTCGTGAGCTACCAATCAAATCTGTCGACGATTCTTCCAGATTAAGTCCCAGAAGATCGAAGAGCGCATCACCTCATTTACGTGCTAATCGTAATCTGAACAAACTCGATAACAATTCTTCCTACACTTACGAGGATGATAACGATAACGATGGTAAGCAACCTCGACCCCATCCAATATTTAAACGAGGAAGTCTAGTGAGCAGTGACTCTGTTGAATATGCTGGCAGTGCTACGAAAAGAGTTAGTTTTTCTAATCAAAATGTTGGCAACGAATTACCCAATGGTAATTGGCCAACCAAACATGGCACGGCATCCGAACCACCAACCAGAAGACACAGAAGTGAAGACAGTGTTTCCGATACCGATTCCGTATTCATTCGTGATCCTAATTTAGATATCATTTATACCCCGTATCATCCTAACACTTCTTGTTCGCGTAATTTAGAAGCAAGTTATGCTTATCATCGAATCCCTCAAAATAATAATAAATGTGTGCCTCAAGAATACGACGCGGATAGACCATTACCACCTTTACCCAAGGAACCATCAAACGTTACTCAAGCTCAGAGATGGAACGTTGTTCCTCATAATTACCGGAAGTGGCCTGCTCTTTGCGAAAGCGAAAGCGGAAGCGAAGCTGCCGGTGAGGTTCAACGAATATTTGGCAGAAACGATGGTGAGTATTTAACCAAATTTTTCTCATCCTTTTTTTTTCCTACCTAGTGTTTATTTTCATATCTCAAGTAAGCTTTAAATTTTACTCTTCGAATACAAAACAAAATTGTTTGAATAGAAGAAAATTATTTTTGAGGATACAAATCCGAGCGTACCTCGCAAGTTTAAAATTCTTTTATAGAAAGTATAAAAACTTGGAAAAGAAATTTGTTGAATCGTCTTTGAGAATCTTAACATTAGTTCTGAAGAAAGGCAAAAGACACATATAAGAAAGGAAGCACGTATGTACATATGTATGTAAGTATATACGACCGGTTAGGATTAGCGTCTCTCTGGACTGGCACAGCTAAGGTCATTGACCTTCCATCTCCGTTCAATGCAACTCCTTGCACGTAGTCTCTCTTTCTCTTTCTCTCTCTCTCTCTCTCGGAGAGTTTACGATCGGCGAGCTATTACGTGGCAGTTTAAAAGACCAATCGGTTATTGCCAGGACGTTGTTCATCGTCGTCATCATCATCATCATTTTTTATTTTATTTAAATTTGTGCAATAGATCGTCGATAATAAATGATACTATACTAATTTTCAACATCACAAATGCATACTTTTGTTCACTTTGAACAATGCAAATGAAACTATACTTTTAAGTATGAAAGTGTATAAAAATAAAAAAGAAAGTAAGAAAGAATGAAAGAGGAATGGAGGATAATATATTCCGCCACGGTTCTTTCAATCTCAAAGTACGTTTCGCAAAGTTTGCGCATGTAAAATTCTCGTCGCTTGCCCTTTAGCATTGGGTGACGTTAAAAATGCATCTTTCTCTCTTCATCTTACTCATTCATGTTCAATCTCATACATACACTTTTCTGGGCACTTAAGATTTTACCATAGAAAATATCATCTCTCATTTTGATAATTTAGCATTTATATTTTATCTCAAATTTTTACTTCTTCATCCAAGAAGTTAATTTTATTGTCTTTTTTTTTTTTTATTTACAAAATATATTGAATATTTTCTATCGTTTACTTTAGATTGAAAAGTCTACAAAATTTGATGTCAATTATTAGCCATATTTGATATTTGAATAGATCAAAATATTCAGTCAAAAATAATAAAATATTTAGCTTAAACTAATACATTTGATATTAACGATTTTTTGATCAAGGTATACCGATAGAGAAATCACTCGAAGACCAGAGTCGTCGATCTGCCGACAGGTGGAGAGACTTATCATTTGGTCCAGCGGCGCCTTGACCTTTCTGACCATATCTTTTTCACTTTTTCGTCCCTTAACACGCATCCCCAAAAAATAATCTTAAAAAAGTACACCTTGCTTAAAAATACAAACCCTACGTATCTAAAATTTGAAACTTAAAATGAACCTATAGCCCGAATATAGAGAAGACCCAAAGGATAAAACAACAGAAATCACTCATCTAATAAGATCATTGATCGGATTTCAAATGAGTGATAAAAAATAAGAAACACATTAAATAGGTATAATAATAAGAATAAAATGTAAAATAAATGTGGAAAAAAAAGTTGAAGGGAATGTTAGAAATAAAGTTGGGGGATAAGAATAAAAGTCTAATGTTTTCCGTGTAGTCAGTAGGTAGGTAGGTAGGTAGGTAGGTAGGTAGGTAGGTAGGTATAGGTGTAGGTACGGTTTGGGAGGATACAGTTTGGGGCGGAGGTGGTGTTCGCGTTCAGCATCGATCCCCGGCTTGGTTGGTTCCCGTGACGTCACAATAAGGGAGAGGCGGCTCGAGCCGGGATTCGGTGAGAGATCTTGCTAGTGCCTCTCTCGGTGCGCTCTTGACTGCACCGTTCCTTTGGTGCTCGCGTTTAACATCCCACACGACCGTTTAAACAACCTTTATATTTCTTCCTTTAACACTTTTTTCTTTTTTTTCATTCAAACCACCACTCATCCTTCTTTCATTATTTCTTTTCCTTTCGTATTGACTTTAAATTTTTCTGTTTTTTTTTTTATTTTTTGCATCAACAAGTCAAATTATAAAAGCAACAAATCAAGTGAAGCAAGCAACCAATCAACCGACGGGTCTTTTAGAGTTTTCAGATCGATCGCGACCTTCGACTTCGACTTCGACGAAGTTGTTCTTCTTGTCTCGTCTTGGCGCTCCCACGCGCCATCTCTCTCTCTCTCTCTCTCTCTCTCTTTCTCTCTCTCTTTCCTTTGATTTGATCTGTTTCTATCTCTTTTTCTCTGCGGCGCGCGCCCCTGACGCACGCGAGTGCCTCGGACTCGACCTCCCTCGACGTCCGAGATAAATCTTCCTCAAGTCAAAGAACTCTCCCTCCCTCCTCCCCTCTCCCTCAATGTTCTATTTACTTTCATGTATCTTTTAAAAGGTGATTCCTAATTTTCAATAATACTATTCTCATTGTCGTACTTCGGTTGTTCTTTGTTTTCCTTTTTCATTTTATCGTTTCAAAATGTTGGTGCAATTATTGTTTAGTTTAGTTTCAACACTGTGCACGCGGCGAGACTCCTTCCTGTTTTTTCTTCATCTTTAGCAATCTTTGAGTAACGGATAGATCGGAGTCGTCAAGAAAAACCGGTTTTCTGTTAAGTCATTGTAGATTTATTTGTTCGCATATATCATTCGCGTTTTATTTTACCTCTAAGATCGATGAGTTTTAAGATTTGTGGTCCATTTAGTTTTTTCTTATTCTCGGTGATATTATTTTGTACGATTTTTAGCGGTATAATCTTCTTTTTTCTTTTTATATGACTTTATTTGATCTCGAAGAAAACGATTTTTGTTGGTGAAATTTGTTGTTTTCTACGATACAATTTCATTTTCGTCTATACTTTTTGTTTGAATTTAATTATTTCTAGATTAATCACATACCAATTCTTCATGTAGATGTTTAATTGTTTAAGCAACATTTTATCAACAAGAGTATCGAGATTCTTCTATATTTTTCTGATCTTAGGTATTTATTAAACAAATAATTCGTCGTTGAGACAATAATTTGTGAATATTTGTATATTCTAATTTCATTCATTTCTGTTATCTTTCCAAAATCTTTAAACTCCAGCCATGCTTAAAGAAAAGGTAAAAAAAGTATAACTGAATAAAAAGGTCTTGAATTCTTATCTCTTTAAACTGCAATTATTTTCTGTGTTTGTGCATACTTAGAGTTAGGAGGGTTGACCTTCGTGCTCTTTCGTCGCGCGGTCGTTGCACTTTAAATGGAAGAAACGCGTAGTCATCGCGAGGAATTCTCAAAGGAAGGAAAGGCCAACGATAGTGAAAAGAAGAAAGGAGGTTAACGTGACAATCAACAACAATAAAGAATAATCTATCAAAAGTAATCATTTTAGCCATTGTTATACGATCATTCATTTGATAGAAACAAAAAAAGAGAAAACAACTAATAATTTTATAACAAAATTCCTTTTATATTAATTATACACAATCATAGTAATCAGTATCACAATAGTGATCAATTTATGACCCATTGTCCAGCCGTTAGTTGCGTTTAGCGAGGAAAATCAAAGATGGCGCCTTGAAATCTTTTCTTCTTCCTCGAAATGGCCTAGTCCTTCAAATTTATACGTTTTTTTTATTTTTTTTCGAACACAAAATTTAGAAAACGATCCATACAAATAATTGATTTATAATTTAAAGATTAATTTGGACGCGTATTAATGTATAATTTAATAATTGATAATATCATTGTAGTACATTTTGATGTTAGTATCATAAATTTTACGTGACGATGAAATTTCGTGATCGAACAATTTCTCGTATAAGTTTTGTTTGATTTATTTGTTCGTTCGTCGTCGTCGTCGTCGTCGTCGTCGGGTTAAACACGATTTAATTCCCATTATCGAAAGTTACGTCGAAGTTACGACCGGTAGAAGTCGCGACCTCAGCGCGTCACTTTTCAAGGCCGATGACGTGAGCTCGAAACGCTGAAGCGGCTACGAGAGATGCTGATACGTTGGAAGAGCAAGGACAAGAGCTCCACCAAGAGCTCGTCCACCGGTTCTGCAGGAAAGAAAAAACGCAAATTTGGTAGAGAAGGTAAGAACAAATTTCAAAAACCCCATTAAATTATCTACGGTATTATTTTCCAACTATTTTTTCTTTCCGATTTACGATTTCATTTGAACTAACGTTGCATTGTTCCAAATCATCATTCATTTATTTTTAACTAACGTTTATTTTGCAAGACAATAATATTTTCATTTGAAAATTGTAACGGAAGGCAATTAAAAATTATTTGACCTCGCTTTATTTTAATTTTTTAATTACGAGTCTATACATACCTAATTTTAAATGAAAATATTCGCTATTTGTTATTTAAACATATTCGATAGTTCTGGGATTGTCGATTATTATTAAAATAATTTTCAAAATAAGGCAAAAAGACGCCGAGAAATGATTTTCATACAGTCTATTATAATTTTCTAATTACAACTTTATAGATACCAAATTTTATATGAAAATATGTGTGGAAATCTTTTATTTGAATATATTTATTAAAGAATAGTATTTGGCACGTTGACCCACCCATGATGCACCAAACGAACTCTCTTATCGGCCATTTTCCTCCAATTCTACATGAACTTTTCTTTCTCTCTTTACAAATGTCGATATTAAACAAAAAAACAAAAGTCATTCTCACATATTATATTTTATTTTACTCGATATAAGGAAAATAAATACAAACAATGAATTACGAAGAAGAGAAATAGAAAAGTTTTTAAACGATGTAAGGGATGTTTTAAGACGAAATGTTTTGAGGTGAAATGTTTTAAGGTGTGCCAGAAGTTGCAACCTGATTTTAAAAATCGATTAATTCCATTGGAAAGTTCGTAGGTTCGTTGTTTGTTTTGTAGTTTTCGTTAGGAAGACTTAGAGTTTAATTTGAGAGAAAAAAAAATGTAAAGCTAAAAGGTCTTTTGGAAAAAGAGTAATTGATTTGAAAAATAAGTTAACAATTTTTGGCCTACTCTGTAAGTAAAAGTTTTTCCAAGAGTGAGCCACTTATGCTATTCGTTTCTTAAGCTTCTTGTTCTTACCTCATGAAACTTTTCCTTCTGTCTTTCTCGTTCTCTCTCTCTCTCTCTCGTTCGTATCAATGTGTACAGACTTTAAAGCCTCTTTCTCACCTTTCTCCACCCTCTTGGAGTTTCGAATCTGTGATAGGGCAAACGAACGTTGCATTTGATTCGTTCAAGAGGTGTGCTAGGTACTTCATTCCAATTGTTAAGAAGAGATCAATGGGATTTCATTCTTTTTTCTTTTCACTTCTTATCGTTTACAAACCTTCCAAATATCTCTCTTCCCCAAACACTCTCTTTCTCTTTCTTTTGAACGCTTTAGTTTTAGGTGGTCTCCTATTTTTTGCTTTTTCCTTCCTTTTATTTTGTTATTAAATGAAATATTCGAGGGAGGTGTTTATTTATATTTTTCGTGTTAATACTATGCCGTCCGCACGTAGACGGTTTTTTGAGGTTCTTGGGAGACCAACATTTCCACATGGAACCAACGTGGAACCACCGGACGGCGTAGTGTTAATAATGCAAAAGTGAAATAACATTTTGTAAATTCTAAGTTAGATGGGATTGTATTACGCGCATTTTCCTCAGATCTCTTGGTAGTACCACTACTCCATGCAAATATTACCATAGGTGAGTTCGTTTAATCGTTCAATTCAACGGAATTCAGCTAATTCGATAGAAATTTTTCAAATATCTAAAAAGAGATTAAAATACTTCAAACAATTCTGCGCAATCGTGGTTTTGAACCAATGCCGACTAAATTTCAAATTCTACTAGGATAATACGAAATATAAGAAAACATTGTTAATCCTTTGAAAATTTTACTACGAAATAAAATTCATTCTCAAAATTGAAATGGGATAAATCTAAATAATAATAATAATAATAATCATAACAGTACAAACTTTAATTTAAATTGTTTCGTATTACTTTCTCTGCTATAAAATAAAACAACGTTTCGCTTCGAAAAAGATGAAAAAATAATCCCCCCTTAAAACAAAACACAAATTTCGTGACAATTACATTAACAATTCTCGTAAAAATAATTTCTCATAATTAAAAACCCAGCGTTTAAAAAAAGAATTAAAAAAAAGGTATATTAAATTAAAATTCAATTCTCCTCTTTCTTTCTCTCTCTCTCTCTCTCTCTCTCTCTCTCTCTCTTAAATGCTAATAACCAAATAAAAATAAAGCAATTATTTCAATATTACTATTATTCCATGTAAAGAAATACTAAACTAAATGATATCAAATAAATTAAAATAAATCATGTATTTTCAGTCAAAAGTCATTAGCGAAATCTTTGCTGATGAATAAATTATTTTCTTTAAATTGACTAGCCGTTGTTCCATAAAAATCATCAATAATAATAATAGTCTATTGAAAGTATTAAACAAAAAGCTATACTTTTCCCAAACATGATTTTTCCTATTAAAAATGTGCTCAACGAGCAAGCAATAAACTCAGATTATCATAAATGTAATTAATAAATTTTGATTGACGAAATATTGACAACACGGTTTAATATTTGGTAACAAGAAAGAGCACGCTGATCAGGGTTCCGTAGTTACATCAGAAACAATGTCAGAAACAATAGCAATAACAGCATCAACAACAACAGCATCAGCATCAGCATCAGCAGCAGCAGCAGCAGTAGCTACACCCTGCTCGAGGATCCAATGTTGTTTGAGGCGCTTGCGCGCAGGTTGCATGGCCCCGTTTCTACCCCCTTCTAGCCCCCTTTCACTCCCGCCTTTGTCCCCTTCTTCTAGATCCTCCTTTTCCTCTTGGCCCTCCTGACCCGGGTGTGTGCACCACCAGCAGCAGCACCAGCAGCAGCACCACCACCAACAGCACCAGAAAAGCTTGTGCTCGTGATACTCAGCGTCCCACCCTGAGTGTCCGATCCTCGCGAGAACAGTAACGTTGTATCGTTCTATCGTGCATCATCTTTCTCTCTCTCTCTCTCTCTTTCTCTTTCTTTCTCTTTCTCTCTCTCCCTTTCTCCTTTTCTCTCTTTCTTTCCTATCTGGTTCTGTTTGTCTAGAGTGCCCTTCAAATTTACCTACAAAAAATAGACAGATACTTCTTACCAATCGTATTATTTTTTAATATTTTTTTTGTTTTCATTTTTATTTTTTGAAATCAGATGAGAAGAATATACGTTCGGATCCTCTTCTGAACGTCACTCTTGAAAATTAATTTTTTTACTTTTCTTTTTCTTTTTTCTTCTTTTTTTTCGAAGTTTTATTTCATTCCGCTTGATTTGATTCGATTTAAAAACCAGTCGTTTGAAAAATACATATATATATTTCACGCAAAATCTTTCCATCCGTCGAACAATTTGCGTAACTTTTACGAGAGTTTGATTCGCGCCGTTAAATCAAGGCGACCTCTGACCTTTGCATGCGACACACGTTAGCGCGCGCTAAACTATACTAATCGAATGCATTCTTTTTTCATATTTTAGCAATTTTTTTTACTTTTCTTTTTCCTACTTATCATCGCGTTACATTATACATTTTCCATGAAGTTTGGAATCAACTGAAATTTTGGGTTTTTATTTCTTATGGATTTTTTGATTTATTAGTTTGAATTGCTTTGGTTAGTCGTTAAATTGTATTTGACGATGACAAATTTTAATCGTATATTAGTATATTTACGTGTGATGAGATTGGAAAAATACGAGTGAAGGAGTCCAATACGAGAAGAAGTCATTGTGAATCCGTTAGAGATGCGTATTTTCGTCTGGAGACATTGCGTTTCGTTAGATGGTAAGAATATTTTTTCTATTACTTATTGTAATATTGCTTCTTTCCTTTTTTTTCTTTTTGTAAATATTGAATCGACCAATAAGCGATACGAAAGATGTTTCAAATTCATAGCAAACGATATTGCATAACATGATTACTATTTATAGGGGTGCGCGTCCGTGCGTTAACTTATTTCTCGGATTTATCGGAATTATTAATGTGTCAATATTATTGATAAACACAATAATACAATTTGTAATACGTGTCATATCGTTAAATAATGAAATAAATAAATAATTTAATCGATAGTAATGGGAAACGCGATACGCAAATGTTAATTAGTAATTAAAGATATGGATATAAAATATTTTAAATTATCTACAAAACTTATTTAATTAATTGTATTACGAATTATTACAGTAAAAAGAAATACTTACATAATAGTGATATTGTTCGTTGACATTTATATATGCGCGAAATGTGTGTATACGAAAGATAACGTCAAATTATGCTAAATTTTGTAATATTCATTTTATATATTAGAAAAAACATTTCAATATCGATACGTCGAGGTATCATTGAACGAAATAAAAAGATACAAATTATGAGATAAATGAAAGAAATAAAGAAATAGATTGAAAGTTTCGTAGAGTAACACTTAAACGTGTTATTTCGAGAAGAAGAATAGTATTGTCTGTTTAAAGTACACTACAGATAATCTAAATCTTATTTTGATCGAAATGATTTCCGATTACGCGGAGACCTCTCTCTTTCTCTTTCTCTCTCTCTCTCTGATAGTATTTGTACATCAACATTATTACTACTATTACTATTAGTATTACTACTACTACTATTAATACGTGTCGACCTAGTTGTGGTAGACCAACTTTGATCGAAACGTATAAATTTTATCTACCATATCGATTGCATCGTGTTGCATTAGCTATATTACGAGAAAGAAGAAGAAGAAGAATATTGCAAGATACGCGAGAAACTCGTAAAGTTGTCGTAAGAGAAACGCCTTCGACGTTGTTTACAACACATTTTACTGTAATTTTTATAACCGAAAGACAACATAATTTTCTACCATTTTTCCTATCCTCAATCTTCGATTACTAATACACACACACAATACAAAATACATAAGTATTCTGTTTTCTATTTTTACAAAATATATAAGTATAAATTGTTAATAAATTGAAAAGATTTCCAAGTTTGTTTGTTTAAATATTAAAAACAAAAAAGAAAAAAAAGAAATACGACATTATCCAACGGAACGGAATATATTTTTCATGAATAAATGAATTTAAGTTTATTTCTTTCTCTCATATATAGTTTTCCTTTCCTTTTTTTTTTCGACAAAAAGACGAAGCAAAAAGAAAAAGAGGAAAAGAGGGATAATAATAAAAAAAGGAAAGAAAAAAAAAAAAAGCTGGAAGAAAACTCCGGAATGCACTTTCTGTTCGTGAGAAACGATCGTTTATCTCGCCCTCGCGGGATACAGGGTGTTCTATAACGATGACCCAGTTCACGAGAGAACATCCTTTGATCCTGACAAATAAATTGCGTACGCAAGGTTGGCTACTTTGCTATACGGAGACGACGGAAATAGCAACTACGACGACTACGACGACAACGATGACGACAACGACGACGACGACGACGACGACGAGCCTCTCGTTTTTTTATATCAAAAAAAAAAAAAAAAAAAAAAAAAAGAAAAAAAAATAGAGGGAAAAAAACAAAGTCAAACTCAGTTGCTTTATTTCGATCGATCATTTTCTCTCGCAATCAGCTACACTCTTCTTCTTCTTCTTCTTCTTTTTTTTTTTTACAGTTCCCTTATCGATTATCGTTTTTTTAATTCTCTCTCTCTCTCTCTCTCTCTCTCTCTTTTTCTATCTCGAATGGTGGAAAGAGATAGATCGATTGAAAGGTCTTTGAGAGGCTATCGTACGAGATGATGGTGCAGCTGAACCTAATTGCATTCTTCTTACACTCAACGAATAAATTTGCGTGGTTATCATTTCCGGAGGGATTGACCCACTCTTATTATCATTAATCCTGCATCCGCCTCGGCCCTTCCTTCGATCGTGTCTATTTAAGAATGTAAGACCTTCGAGAAAACCACCAGGATACGAAATGTTACTCTTATATTTTTTATCATCTTCTCTGACACAAATTCTTTTTCTTTTTTTCTACGAAACATATATTTTTTATCACATCATAAAGATTACACACTTTTTCTATTTATTTATTTATATATTTGTTTGTAACGAAACGCATAGATTTTTATAGAAAAATTAAATTTTGATTCGTTAATCTCTCTACAAATGTGAATGAGGACAAAAATAATGTTACTTTTGTAACGGAGATCATTCACAAGGATTTATTATCCACTAGGTTCTTCCAACAGAGTAGTTCCCCTTGCAACTAAAAACGATCTTGAATCTAAAAAGAATGGAAACTCGATCCAGGTGGTCTGAAGAACACCAGAATATCTCCTTGCTAAGTTCCCTAAGGATTAGACCAACTTCTTCCTTCTTTGCTCTCATCGGATATTTCTCTCTCCTTTTCTTCTTCCTTACGACTTTACCACTCGGGAAGGATATATTATTCCAGAATAGAAATATATATATATATATATATATCCAGCTTTCTTTCTCTTCGAAAACACCACACACGGAGCTCTTCGATTGATCGTAATGGCCGTCCACGTTCATTTTGAAACATTACTACTTCGATACCGAAACAAATTAAAACTCCTCTTTTCTATATCGAACATTAATGTTTTTTTCCACAAGAAAAAAAAAAGAAAAAAAAAAGAAAAACTTATACAATATATATCGATCTATGTATATTTTCTTTTATAAATAATATTTCTCGTGTATAAATATTTTTACGAAGAAATTTATAAGCAATATTTGAAGAAAAATAAATAAACCCAAAGCCTCTAGGAGGTTTATTATTATTATTATTAACATCATTAATAATTTTAAATAACTAAATTATAAGAAAAATCTTTAGATGAGAGAAATATTTTAAGGAGTAAGATAAGAAGAAAATGCACCGAGAAATACGAACGTGGGTGGTCGAAAAAAGTTGGGGGAGTAGGTTGTGCTCTTGAAGATCAGGAAGGAATTCCAAGTTCTGGAATACTGCAAGTTAAAAGATATTAGATTTAATAGCTTCTTGGAATTCTCATTTCCTTTCACACCTTTTTAATTTCATTTCAAACCTACTTCCAAGTAAATACTTTCTTACAAAAAAAAAACAAAAAGAAAAAGAAAAAATAGGAAAACAAATTGGTAAGGATTTTCTTTTGCGAAGAAATTTCGTAGAACAAAAAAAAAAAAGAAAGAAAAAACTGTAAACAAAATTGAAAATATTCATAGACGGAGGAATCGTAAATAAGATAGAAAAGGATCTTTCTGTTCTTGCTCTTCGGGATGATGTTCTCATATATCCAAGAGAGAGTTTCTGGAATAGAACGTTTAACCTCTCGAACTGGAGGGGTTGCAGTAAGAGAACATAGTAGAGAGATAACCCGAACGAATGCGCGCGCACAATGCGAACGTTTACGTTTCTCTCCAACTTAAATTCCATCTAACACATTTTAACAACTATTCGAACTGCAGAGACACACATACATACACGCGGCGAACACATATAATGCATATACCTATATGATTGATAGGGGGGCAAAGAAAAATGGTAGTTTTCGTGTACGAACAAATGACGACTATGTCACGTGGACGAAATCTAAGTGAAATTGCTTTTTCTCTGATTCTCTATCTTTATCGGCTTTTATTGAAATCCGATGAAATTACTTCGATGTCTATCCCCCATCCCTTTTTTCTATAACCACCACCACCACCACTACTCATATCCTCGTTCCATCATCCCCTATGCCCCCTTTGCTCGAATGAAATTCGAATAAAGAAAATGTTAGAAGGACAAAAATGAAGTTGGAATACATAGAGAAGAAAATTAGAAAGAAAGAAAGAAATAAATAAATAAGTGTAGGAAAGAAAAAGATATTTGTAGAAAAAGAAGGAGGAAGAGGAAGAGTGCAGGGGTAGAAGAACCGCACCCACCCTGGTTTATCGACCCGGTTACACCCTTAGCCGAGCGAAGCCACGAATTTCCCTCCTTACCTATCTATACATAGTATATATTTAATATATAGATGTATCTATATACTAGTACATATATATATATATTATGTATTTTTATATATTATCGTTGCCCGGAAAGATAGTGCCGATTAATATTTTTTTTATTTAATATGTTTTTTTATAGAAATCTATAAGAATAGAATCATTTATTAATTAGCCATTCTAGCCGAAAAGTTTAAGAACGAATACATATATAATGTAATTAATATGTCAATCTATAAATTTTAATAGAAAAATTTGTCTTCTTTTTGCTAAAGAAAATTTGTCAACCAGCCATCTTCTTTAACGTCTTTTACGTTATTTTGAAAATTTTTAGTTGATTTTAAGAAAATTCGCATCTATGTTTAAAAATAATAATTAGATATTAATTAATAAAGTATTATCAATTTTCTTGTTCATTTTAATTAACCCTATTTAAATTACTACAATATAAATCTGTACTTTAGATTTATTATATTATAATTCATGGAATCTGATAGGTCAATTCTAAACTTGGGATGATGCCAATATGCTTGTTTCATAGTACAAATACATTGGTTTAATTATATTTCTAATGGTCTATTAGACTATTAGAGAGAAAGAGAGATAATTAATCTTAATTATCTTAACTAATATCACTGCATATAAATTTATAATATATGAACTAATTATAATATATATTATCGATTACATATTATTCATTTATAATAGAATCTGGGAAAATGATAGTATGTTTGTATCAGAGACAATTAAACTCATATAATACACCATTAGAAACTTCATTTATCTCTTATAATTATTTCCTATAATTAATATTATTGAATAAATTTATATATACCTATACAAAATTAAAATACAATAGATGGATAGATTAATTTCGAATATAGGAAAACCTTTACCAATATATTTCATTGATACGTTGCAACACTAAACATGTAAGTTAACCCAATTCTAGATAAGAGTATCTAAAACAAATCATCTAATAATTCTATCAACTACATTATCCGACCGATGATCCGTAAATATTTAAACAAAATCTATTCAGAAACTCATCAAATATCAGAAAACTTGTCACATCAGAAAAAGTCTGATTTAAACTCGATCATTTACATGGAACAGCTGATGATCAATCGGATGATAATACTTGAAAGACAAAATAGATGATTTAAATGGCATCTCGAAATAATCGATAGGAGATACTAGACCGGAGTCCAGACCAATCGAATTGAGGATTGTCGAAGTATAAAAGTAGGCACGTGCACAAGATGTTGCTGGATGTGCAGTATAAGAAAGGAGTCATAAAGAATCCATGTAAGAGGATGCTGCGCGAGGATAGTTGGTGGATGATGAGGGAAAGGGTAGCAGGGGGAGGGAGGCACCACCCTAATGGAAAGGAAGACGCTACGCGTCGTGGCATGGTATGGTATCAAGAGGATCGAGAGGGGATGAGGAAAGGGCCAAAGATGATGGAGGAAGAGGTGGAATAGAAGGAGGGTGGTGGGGGGAGTGGGGGGTGCGCGAAGCATGCAGACACTCCGCGTCTCTGTTCTACTTCAGTATGCACGCGGACAGCGAGTAGGTCGGATATTGTGTTCAACTGTGTGTGCGTGTGTGTGTGTTAGTGTAATTAGTGTATTAGTGTTCATCTATATATATATATATTTATCACTCTTCTTTGATTTTTTTTTTTAATTTTCTTTTTTGATTTAGTGTAATTATACAGAAGGCTGCCAAACGTATTTCATATTTTGTATTTTACATTGAATTATTATTATCTTTGGTAGTACAAGGGGATGAAGGTAATTTATTATTTGACGTTTCGGAAGTGGTTTATTGGTTTTTTTTTTTTTCTTTTTTGAAAGCTGTTTAGGGATGTTTAACGATAAATTTGATATCGTTGGATAAAAGGTTTTGTTTTGAATTATCTAATGATAGATGTTTATATCTGATAGGTTAATGAGATTTATAAAGATCTGGAAATTATTTGTGGTTTCTGATGAAATTTTTGTATGATAGTAAGGTAAATCGAAAATTGATTGAGCTCGTAATTTTACAATTGAAAAATTACAATCGAATAAAAAACTTTTGATCTAGCCTGTATTAGATATCACAGTAGTTGAACGTTACATTCATAATTATTAAACGCGTCATCGTTTATAATCAGAGCTAGTATTTTTCCACATATTTTTCTTGTTCTAATTGTAAAAAAAGAAAGAAAAAAAAAACGATAATTTATATTCATTAAACGTAAAAGATATAACAAAGTAAAAATAAAGTAATGAAAAATTAGATAACGTTTGTTAATCGATAGTAAAATGTGCCGAAGGATAAGATCTTCTGTTACGTTTTTTTTTTTTTCGAGGTAGACGCTCGTTCGAGAGGATAGAAACACGAGCTATGATAATAATAAATAAGTGATGAAGATGAAATCTTTTTTATATCGAGAGAAGATAGTAAGAGTTTAAGTATAATAAGAACACAGTATCCGTGTCTTCTCGGTATAATCGGCCTCTTTATTCAACCGCTCGACCCACTTTCCAAGTTATTCTCTTCTTCAAAGATGACCATATCGTGTACCGCTAACTTTTTCTTATAGAGAGCACATCGACTTCTTATTTTTTATTCATCAAAAAGAAAAATATTCTGTTAATGTTACTTTATATATATTGCATATGTATTTATTTACATGTTATGCATACACGGAAAAATATTCCCGATGAATTCTTTTTTGCGAATAATATTTTTGGAATAAAAATACGATTCGTAAATATTTTTATACACACACACACACACACACACTTCTTAAGTTCATTTATTTTGATAGATTATTTAGGACCATTGGATTTTAGTTGATTTCGGAATTTTTACATATTTTTTTTATCTAAATATAATTATTGTTATACGTTTATATTTTGTTAATTTATGATGTTTCGTTTGAAGATAAAATTCTTTTGCGTTTAAATTTGAATAAAAATTACGATTCGTCAATATTTCTATACTTCTTATGTTGATTTATTATTAAAAGTTATTTAGAATAATTGGACTATATTGATTTAAGAATTCCAATCATATTTTTAATATTTATTTATCGCAATATTAATTTAACTATAATTGTCAAATAACATATTACAATATCGTATAAAATAAATAATTCGACAAAGAGTAATAAAATAATACAAAATATGCATATTAAAAATAAATCAACAAGTAATCCAATTCTCAATATATACGCAATCAAATCAAATCAAATAAATAAATAAATATTTATTAATAAAGAAATAAAATTCCAGAAATTGCTTGAAATATAAAAGAGAAAAAAATAAATATTAAAATACATGTATTACCTGACGCTAAATTTATTTCCCTCCGTCTCTGCTGGTCTGACGGTTTCTGTATAAGCGCGAAAGAAAAATAAAAAACGGAAAGAAAAAGAAAAAGAAGAAGACGAGGAAGAAGAGTAATACTGAATAGAGTGGAAGGGGAATGAAAAAAAGAATATACAAAAAATAAAATAAAAGAAGAAGAAGAAGAAGATAAGAAAAAAAGAAAAAACAATGAGCAAAAAGTAGAAAGGAGATGGAAAAGGTAGCGAGAGAGAGAGAGAGAGGGGAGGGATTCTGCTGGAAGTTGGGGGGATGGGTGGGGTGAGAAAGGAATGGTGAAGTTGGAAAAGGGTGAAAGGAGGTGGAAAATGAAAGGAAACATCGGGATACGAGTTTAAACGTTGCACAGTAGAAGGAAACTTAAACAGGGTGGGAATAAGGGTGGGGAGGTGGAACGGCTTGGTTGAGGGATGAACGGAGTTGGATAAGGGTTGATGGGGGGGGGGATGGTGGGAATACGAAGGGAAAAGCATTTCGCGTGGAAAATGTGAGTTTTTCAAGAGTAGACAGAGAAAACGCGCGTATATGCGATAGCATGAGTTGAAGAGAAATGGGGATGCGGTGGGGGTGTGGTAGGGGTGTGGTATATATACTTTTTCTGTTTTACGCTTTTTCATTCGAAAAAAGGGTGTCGTAGTCGTAGTCGTCGTAGTCGTCTCGTCTCGTCTCGTCTCGTCACGTAAACTTTGACGACGATGATAACACTGTTTTGTGTGTATGCGCTCGTGTTTTACGTAAGCCACTTTGTCTCGTCTACGATCAAAAAGAAACAAAAAAAAAAAATAGAAATAGTAGAAAGAACAAAATTGGCGGGAAGAAGCAGGAATTTTGTTGAAAACTTTGTGCTTTTTCTCTCTTTTCGTTAGGCGAGTATTTTTTTTTGTTTTTTTTAACAATTTTTTTGTCAATTTTGTTTATATTCTTGTTAATAAAATCCCCACTCGTATAGTTGGAAAACGTTAACGATCTCTTAGAAAGTAGCCCTAGGGAACACTTCGGTAATAGGGTTCGTTGGTTGGTTGGTTGGTTGGGTGTTTCTTCCTTGAGAAGAACAGGAGTCTCGACAATTTAAAGAAAAAATATAATAAAGTACTATACTCTTTCTTTATCTTTTTCTGCAAGGGCTCCAAGAAGATAAATTTCTCATTTATTTCAACCCTTAACAGATTTTTTTAAAGGAGGAAGAGATTTAACAATTTATATGTATTAAGATTCAGGATGAAAGAAATTTGATTAGAAATATAATCTTGTATAAAATAAAAAAGGAGAAATAATTTGTCTTACTAATAATACGATTGTATTAGGAATAATCTTTTAATTACAATTTAATTACGCGTATCCATTTTTTTTAATTATAATATTTAATAGAAAAAACCGTATGATCGTCTGTAGAGACAAATGTACGAACGTTTATAAAATATAATTTAATTCAAACGTTTATCGATCAAAATTCAAATAAAATGGAATATAAGGGAGAAACAATTTTATTTCTAACAATAAAATCTAAAGAAATAGAAATAAATTTGAATGATGTATTCTATATATATATATTTCTTAAATTATATAACATTTAATAAATATTCAAGATAAAATGTGAAAAATTATGAATGAAAATAAAACGGGACATGAGAAATCGTTTTGTTTGTAACAATAAGATTGAAAATAATAGACATAGCATGATTTTTAATTGGAATTTAATATTACGTATTCTCCTTCCGTCCTTTTATTTCCCTCTCTATTTCTCTGTGGAATATTAAAAAAAAAAAAAGAAAAAAAAATGGAGAAAAAGAATAAAATGAATATATAAAAGAACATAAGCTATATAATTCTCAAGTTGTCGTTTCATACTAGTCGAGTTAATTCCGGTATCTCGTTACTATCGTGGGAAGGAAAAAGAAAAAAGAGTTAGTATAGATTAAGTCAATGCCGTTGCCACAGTTATTGCTGGCAACCTCGTTCTCGTTGTTGTCGTTGTCTTTGTCTTTGTCGTCCGTATTCATAGTAGTCATAGTTATCGTCATCGTAGTTGTCGTCATCGTAGTCGTAGTTGTCGTAGTCGTTGTCGAGTCAAGACGTTGAAGTAGAAGGGGCTTGGAACGAAGTTAAGCCCGTCGAAAGGCTCGTCTCCAATTACCTGGCAGAACTCGCAGCCTCAAGCTTCAGTACTGTACATAGGATAAGACATATATCAAAGTATATGCACATGTGTATGTGTGTGTTTGAGAAAAAAGAGAAGAAAGTTAGAACCTGAAGAGTTTCCTGCCACTTTCCACTTCTTTAAAGTCTTTCGAGTTCGCTTTATAATTATCTTTTGAAGAAAACCCCTTTTTTTTTCTCTCTCTTTTTTTTCAGGATTATACCTTTCGATTGAATTTTTTGTAGTTTTTTTTTTTTTTTTTAGTTATATAATTGTCGCGATCTTTGATTATCTTTTAAGTGATGATTAGTAAGAGATTGGAGTAGTATATCTAATAAAATCAAATAAAATAACATAATTAAATTAAAGCAAATAATTATTGCATATCTCTTGAATAACTATTGTATAATTTACTATTCTTTTAATCTCTTCCTTTATTCAACAAACATGTTTTTTTATTTTTTATTATTATTACTTTTTACCATGCATATTTCTAATATAATTAAAATAAAGTATTAAAAGAACAAAGAAAAAATTGGATACAAATTTGTATAAAAATAATATAAAAAATATTTCTTCGAAGTATAAACGAGATAGATGGAAAAGAATGAAAGTTTTTAACTGAAAAACTATAAATCTACCTTACGTATTTGCATTTTGATTCGATCGATTCTATCAAAAGTTTAAATTCAAAAGAAGATTTACAAAATGTATGTTATATGCTTCATAGGTATGCACAAAAGTTAAAATATCACAAAAAACGAATGAACGAATGAACGAACGAACGAACTAACGAACATATTTAGGTCGTCGAAATAATATTTGCCTTTGATATTGACTTTCGAATGCATTTGGGACGGTGCAACGTGCCAGGAATATTGACTTTAGCCTACGAAATGCGTTGATCTTCTCCTATAACTCGTAAGATATGGGGAAAGTTTAAAAGGGCTTTTGGGAAATGACGTCATCATGCTATACTATTCGATCCCATTTTCATCCAACTCCTACTCTTATGTCCCTTCCACCTTCCCACCATCTTTACATTCATGAATTATCATTTTGAGATCGCATACTTCTAACTTGTATCCGTTAATTATCCTATTTGCAATAATAAGTGTTATTAATGTTGTCAAGACCACTGCAATTTAAGTCAACGTTTAGTTCTAATTAAATTATTGTATTCCTTCTTGTAATCAATTTTTTTTAACCATAAAATAAAATAATTCCAATCGTTATTAGATGGACAATCTTCTTTTTTATTTATTTTTTCTATTTGTCATAAAGAAAATTGGAAAACCAGGGTCACTCAATTACGGGTTAACTTTTAATCTTATTGTTAAATGAAATTAATTACGCTATTGTCATCAATTTTCTTAATCATAAAAACAAATTCTAATAATCAGGTAAACGATGTTTCAATTTGAGTTATTACTTTTTTTACATCATTATTTCCAAAATAAAATGAATAAAATACAAATTTCATCTATTTTGTTGGAAAAA